TTCAGTGGGACTGAGATGCTTTGAAGTGGGACTGGCCCTTTGTTCTATACCCAACAGCCTTGAGCTACATCATAATTTTACATGAACACTTGAAGTGGTGCCAAGTGTTGAAGTAGGTGAGGCATCTACATTGTAAGAGGTAATTTCATCTCCTGTGATGAGTCTCTGCTGATCAGACAAGATATATCTATCTGTGGATAGTGAGCTTACCATGCATCTATTACTGCATGGCAGAGTGACTGGTTTGGGTAAATTACAGTCACAAATGTGTCATTCCCATAGACTATACACAAATTAGTGGGAGGCTGCACATTTTTTAGAGAAGGTGAAATATGTTTTCTCCTTGGGGTCTCCCAGAGATCATGTATACTGGTCCACAGTTCACAGCAAAATTTTAAAGCTTTAATAAAAAGATATAGTTATATGCCTTCATTCCTTATTTTCATTGTCCTAAGACACACAGAGAATATGAAACGGCTGCAGACAGTAAATAAGATCTGCGTTGGGCTCTTTCACATTTCTTTTTCAGTTTAAGGAAAATACAGTCTGTCTTGTTCACCAGAGGGCAGGAGAGCATACCCTACACTTCAGGGCTTCTGGCCTCATCAGAAAACCTGACTGGGGCAAAGGTGACTCTGTTACATAAGAGAGCAAGCATGGAGGAAGCAGGGTAGCCACAAGGCCTGCTGTTAAGGCACTTCCATGCTTGCGGTCTTATGTTGTGGTCAGACTTGACTGCCAGTGTTCCCTGGCCTCTTCCACCTCCTGCATCTAACCTGCCATGACTTGATCATGCCTCCAGAGGCCAGGATAGACTCTTCTTTGGTGTCTTCTTGCCTTTGCTTAGCCCTAGAGGTTACTCCCCACTAATTCAAACTCCACAGGGTATATTTCCCCTCTAAGGTGGCCCTACATGTGCCTTAGAGGCTGTAATAGTGGCCTTCAGCTGCCCCTATAGCCATGCCTATGCCTCACAGATGACTCAATTGCCACTTGGAGGAGACCACTGGGCCCCTCAGGGCCCAGACCCCTATGCGTCAGCCTTGCCAGTTTTGACCCCTTTTATCTAGCTGAGCCCTCTCAACCCAAGTCCACCATCTCAGACCCTGGGTTCCTTGGCCTCCACCTCATATGCCTCTGACCAAAACTAGTTCCAAAACTCAGAGCGTCTATGGCACCCTATTCCATGGCCTTCAGATCTCCCGTACAGCCACAACCTGGCCCTCTAGTGTTAAACTTTAATACAGAAAAGACAGAACACAAAGGGTTAACCATCCAATTACAACTCATCCACAATCCCCTCAGGACCATAAGAGTTTCCCTAGTCATAATGAGACAACTGATTCCCTTAGCCCTAGGGTACCTCCTTTTCCCTGACAGCTAACTCTGTCCTCCACTCCTTCCCCAACAACCTGCAGACATAGACCCTCCAGCTGCAGTCCATAGACTAGGGCTTATATACAGCCAAGCCAAGCCGTGCCCCTTCCAGTCACCTGGCCATGGCTGTTGAAGATATGCCCAGGGGTTCCTGTTCTGCCTAATGAGCTGTTTGGATTCCCCTCCCCTGCAGCCCTCCTTAGCTGCTTAGCAGTCCCAGGCCCTTGAGGTCTGGGTTTCTGCTGGTGCTGGCTGCTGCAGTAGTCTGCCCCTACATGGGCTGTAAAAGACTTGTTCCCCTGGGACCCCACTCTTTCTTCCTGCTCCCCCTCTGCATGTAGTTAATGGGGTTGGTGTTCCCTGTTACAGGCTCACATTAAATAGATTAGAAGTTATATAATTTACTAGTCTCAGAAAGTAAGGGTCAATGGAAAATCATTGTCCAGCAAAAGTGAGCTTCTAGTAGGGTCCCCATAAGGCTATTCAGTACCATTAGCAGTGCTCTGGGAGAAAATATTAAATCCCTGCTGGTAAAGATTGCACATGGCCCCATATTCCTGGTAACTAGTAAGAAATAAGCCAATTCTATAGAGTGAGCTGGATATTTTGGTAAACTGGGTTCATTCACAAAACAAACACTGTAGTGCAACTCAGTGCAGGATCCTGCATGCAAGAGCAAAGGTTTGTGGGGGGGTGTTACACTTGCAGGATGGGGAACACTATCCTATTCAGAGACTCTGAAAAGGAACTGGCAGTCACTGTAGAAAGCAAAGAAAAACTCAGGGCAATGATTTGGCAAACAGTGCTGATGCAATCTGTGGAGGTATTTGCAAGGGCATGTTGAAGAGTGGCATGAGGAAGACCTCATTACCTCTGCCTCTGTCATTAATGTAACCATTACTGACAATAAGGGAGGCAATGACACAGCTAATGTCCTGAAGAAGTTACATATAACTAACAGCAAAGAAGGATGGGTTTTCTTCATCTGTAAATAAGCTCTGAGTTGCTGATGAAGTCAGGCTTAGATGCATGCCATGGGGCTATTTGTATGCTTACTTGGCAGGGGAGATACCATTATGATGGGTGCCTGTAGACATGCTGGAGGCTGCTCCAAAGCACTGTATGGTGCATCAGAGCAGACTTGATGAAATGAGTCTGCTGGAGTGCGCTAATTAACATGCTCCAACTACCCTCTGTGTCTTGTGTATCAGTGTCCCTGCACTTCAAAATGGGGGTGAGGGCTTTTTTAATAAAGCTCGTTTGATGAGACAAGCTGCAGGCATAGGCAGTGGGAGAAAATATTATTTTGTGGGGAGGGGGGCTGAGTAAATATTATTTGGGGGGGGGGCTGACCCCCACCCCTCCCTTCCACAAGGCCATTGTGGGGCCAACGTGCACTGGTGCTGTATGTGGTAGCAAAGGAGCAGCGCTGGGTGCTGTGGGATGGCAGCACCATGGTACTGCTGCTGTTTCCAGCCATTGCAAAATTAACTTGGGGGAGCTAAGCCCCATTAGCCTCAGCCTTCCACTGTATATAGCTGCAGATGCTTTAGAGCAGCTCTTGGAGCTGTTCTAATTAAAGCCCACCCCCCCCAGCACATGTATAAAAATGCCCAATGGTTTTGGCCCAGGTGGTTTACTTACCTGGCACGGGAGATACCCTTTTTCTTGGCCTTGAATGACTTGGTGTAGTTAAGGGTGGAGAGCTGTCCATTGAACTGCAGGCAGGCCACCCTGTGAGACTCTACTAAAGCCTCCCAATGGGTGGATCTCAGCGATATGATTTATGGTGATGAGAGATTGGTCTTGGGCTTTCCCACTAGCTTGTTTCTTTGGCCTTTTGGCTAGGGGCAAATGAGGCTGGGGGCATCTGGACTCCAAGGTCTCTGGGCTTGGGGCTTGAATGTAGGATGCCTGCCATGGATTTGGGAGTATATGAAGCCCCAGATTGAGGAGTCTGGGAGGTAGAATACTTGCCAGTGGTAACGCCACACAGACTGGAATGACTGAGCTCTGCTCCGTCAATAGAATTCAAAACTGATTTGGCCCAAGACACAAGTGTGTTGTTTTTCTTAATTGTAAGAAGAACAAGGTGCAGAGGCAAATATCTGTGGGGGTGTCTGTATGCCAGAAAGGCATGATGCAGTTACTAAAGATTGGAACTGAGGAGTGTAGCTGAGGAACCAGTTAGACTTGACTGCTGGAGATGGTCTCAACACTCATATGCTAATGGGGAAGGAAATAAAGCAGGATGGGTGTTTTAAAGGCTCTAGTTAGCCATAAAAGGGATATGGGATAACTATTAGCAACCTGCTTGGAAGAGGAGAGGAAAAACAAAACCTCTCTAGGCTGGGCACAGGAGCAGGGACCTGCATGCATCAGAGGTGGAAGGAGAAGGGAAAGGGGAGGAGAAAAGGGAGGGGAAGGGGGAAGTGTAGAGGAGAACTAAGGGATTTCTGTGGGCTTGCTGAGTCCTGATCAAGACCAGGATCTAGGGAGTGGCTGACCAACAGTTCAGTCCATTAGTGCTCAAACAGCTTTGTATAGATACATAGATGTCATGGCATAAGTCAAGAGACAGGAAGCCTAGACTGAGAGATTTACTTTATCTTCTTTTCAAAAGCAGTTAGCCCTGTACAGGGCTGGCTCCTTTTTGGGGTAGATTGGTTGCAGCTTCACTGAAGTAAGTGGAGCCAGGGCCAGGCTCCTAGCTAGTGTGAATTGCCTGTGGTTCTAGTCAAATGAATGGGACCAGGTCCCTAATGGCCGCATCTACACATGCATATTTACTGCACAATAACTGAAATGACTGCACAGTATGGGCACGTGTTAACATGTGCACACCCATACTGCACAGTAAATATGGTGATTTATGCTGACTTGAGCATAAATTTGATACCTGCATCATGCAGGTATCAACTTTACGCCCGATTAGTTACTGTGTAGTAACGTACGTGTACATGCCTTACTGCACTGACTTGGGACTAACTTTAGTCCTAAATCAGTACACACACAGCATTAATGCGCCTTAATGCATGCATGTGTAGATACCGGCTTATTCCCATTTACTGCGCAGTAAATTTAAGCCGGCATAAATGAACGTGTAGAACGCCCAAGAAGTATAAATGGCTCTGAATCCAGTAGAGATAATGGGACTAGATGCCCAGCTGATGTTAATTGGCCACAGTTCTATTGGCACCATAGGAGCTCCACTAATTACCCCAGCTGAAGATCTAGTCTTTAGTGCATTGAATTTTCTCCCACTGTCCAGTTTTGTTGCACTTTTTGTAACTCCCTGCATAGTGACATTATAATTCTGGCAAATGCAGCACCAAGAGATAAGGACATAATTCCCAGCAAGGTCATTCCAGAGGTCATGACCTACCTATGGGAGAACTATGATTCTGAAATGGGTCCATACGTCCCTTGGAGCCAAGCAGGATGCAATAAAGCACGCAGCACAAGTCTCTACTCCCCCACCTCATGCAGCTATAGATAGATATGGACAAAGCTCTGTTTACAGAGAAGCCCACCTCCCTGGTAGTTAGCAGAGTCATGTGGCTGAAGTACTTAATTACAGAAACCCAATATAAATCCCAGTCAACATGTAGAGGAGACATCTACGCAGGAAGACGTAGCAGCTTTCTCAGAGAGATCAGCAGAGCAGAGTGCGGTAAGCCCCATTGCAATGTGTGGTACGACGTACAGTATTTCTAGCACGTGGGGACTCTGTATGAAGGTACACAAGTTGACTGTTCTGAGTGTGTGTTGGTGTCCTACGCATGGGGTGACTGTGTGTACAAGTGTGTGTTTGTGTGTAGATCTCAAAAGTGATTTTTACTCAGGCTGTCCTCAAAGTGGAGAATTCTTTCCAGCTCTTAAGGGCTGCATTAAGGGAGTTCTTGCAGTGAAAGGGGCTGGCAGACTCTCCTGGAATAGTGTAATCCTTCTATAAAGACTGTGAGTGACCGGGTGACTGCTGTCCAAGTGCTGGGTGGCAAAAGGTTGCAGGCACTATGTAATTTATACTTTAGGGTGACTAAGGAACTTTTAAAACCATCCCAATCTGCCATTGAAACAGACCTGGTTCTATGGTACTTGGACATGGGTCAGTACAGGGTTGTTTCACACAGTGTATTTGTTAGGTTCCTTTGACAGCTGTTTGCATTGACCCTTAAGGCTTGTGCTTGGTGCTGTACCGTCATACAAGACAAGAACAGGTCCTGCCCATATAAGCTTGCAGCCTTGACTAACAGAATGCAAACATGGGGGTGAGAAGGAGATGAAGTGACCAATTTTTAGGAAATGGCACTGCAAGGCAGCATCACATAGGTATGGCTAGGCTGCTTTCTGTTCAGAAAGGAACGCCAAGCTACATTTCAGCCCAGAAGCAATAAAACATGTTCCCACAGCATCATGTTCTCTTGGCAGATGCTACCTTGTGCTGTAGATCCTTGTACCAGGACCAGTTTTCCTGAAATAGGACTATTGTCTTGAACTTGAGTCCCCTGGCACATGGACTGCTCCTTATGGCTTGTGTCACTAGCCTACTAAGCACCTGCCTTTCTCCTCCATTTCTCTGGTGCTCCTCTACTTTCAACCCCATGTGTAAAGTTGGAGCTGAAGCATGATTCCTCCAGCTCTTCATCTGTGCTGTTTACCCTGTCCAGGCAATGCTTCTCTCTCTCAAATGCTATCAGCTAAGCTATTTGAAGATAATATCAGCTAAATCCTATCAGGGCTTTCTTTAGCTGCCCTCAGAGCTTCCCACGCTTTTTTTTTTTTTTAAACCAGTGCTCAGATTCCCAGGACCCCAGCCCTGTCTCCCCCCACCACATCTCTGCAAAGGGAATGAGAAAAGGAGTGCTTTAATCCCTTCCACAAGTGGTAGTGACTAGGTGAGAGGCAAGCAGTGGAGATACAAGGCCCAATGTTACAAGAGGGTGCCTGTGGGGAGGGCCCTCCTCATGGGGTCCATGGCACAATGCCTCTCAACATCATCTTCCATGGCAAATTCCCCTTTCCCAGTTTGCCTCATTCTCATCCTCAGCCACTTCCATACCTGCATTTTTCTGTTTGGCCAATCTATGCCATTCTTCTGGTTCTTATGTCTCAGTAACATCAGTGTCTCATTAGCCAGCTCACTGAAAACAAAGGGTATGCTGCAGATCTCTACAGAGATCCCAAGCTGGTTTGATACTGGGAGCAGAGCAGTGGATCTGCAATAGCAGGTATCAGCTCTTCAGTGGGGTAATTAGCCCCAGTGCAATGCTGCACTAATGCAGCTACCCTGCTCCCTGTAGTTGTGCTATCTTTTCATGGAGCTCCACTATGCACTGGAGATCTCCCCAACAATTCATTGCTAATGACTACCATTAAGGGGCTGTCTGATTTCCAGAACTTTGGTCTGAACTGGCAGTCAGCAGTGGTTATTTTTCTCTCTAGCCTTTACTTTTCTCATTAAGAACATTTTTAAAATAAAGCAATTCAGTACCTTGCAGCTACAGCAGACTTACCACCAGTTTAGCCTTTATCCTCACATTATATTTTCCCTCTCATGTTTCTGTTTCCTCTGCCTCGGCTCTTTCTTTGATGCCCTAGGTATCCTCCTATCCACAATTTGGCCAACCCTCATGTGCATTATGGTCTCTCTCATTAAATAGGCCTGCACTTCTGAAGTCAACACCTGGGATAATTGTGCCAGCAGCTTTTAGCATCAGCAGACAGTCCTGCAGAAGCCAAATGGGCACATTTGACAAGCAGTCCAGGTTGCTCTTTCCACAAAACCTGTCTATCCTCTACTCAGCCCTACAATGTGGGAGACCCAGAGATAGCAGAGGAACTGGAGGGGCTTGCAATGAAAACCTCGAGGAAATAGAACTTTTGAAACAACAAGAATTTGGAGAAAGGGAGGAGAAGGAAGCAGGCAGGGCAGGTGAGTGTAGATTGTGGGGCCAGAAAGGAAGGAAGTGGCATGTTATCCACTGGGGCTGAACTAAGAGACTTACAGGATAGACTGTGAGGTGGGGCAAGAGAAGGTCAGGAGCTAGTTAGTGGGAGGGGCAGGGTGATGTATAGACTAGGTTGTCGGTCTGGGGAAGATGCGGCATACGGCAGGGCAGGAAGGAAGACTATGTAATAGGGCAGGGAGGGATATAGGTAAGCTGTGGAGTGGGGGAATGAGGCACAAGGGGCAGGCTGAGAGGCAGGATATGAGTTGGAGTGGGGAAAGGTTAGGGCTGGTTTGTGTGGTGATGCAGACAAACAAAATAGTCAAAGGATAAATGCTGCTTCAACTGGATTTGAGAAGTAATCCTGCTCCTTTCAGCCCGCTGAGAGTGTGCTCCACAAGCCAACTCTGTAGAGGTATGCACGCAGTGCCATGTCTCTGAGCCACACTCAGCCCTGGCGTCAGTGATGTGCCTGAGCCGAATTACAGGATAGAGCCTCCTATAAATGTGAGAGGTAGTCACTGCTCTGCATGTTTGCAGTGCTTGGAAATGGGTTACTTGAGGGGAATTCTGTCAAACTAGAATGGGTAGCTGTTAGTGAGGAACCTACTGTGTGTCAGACTTCAGCTGTTTGGGGCTGCAGCCCAGGCTGCAAACACACAAACATTGGCTTTTCAAGATAGTGACATTTTTCACATTCTCTGAGCTCAAGTGTTTCACAGGAATTTACCTGGAAGCCAGCCTTGCCTATGTGTGAGCAACTGTGTGTACTCTGCTGCTCATGGCCTTGGCATACTCTGAGATCAAGCCTTTCTGTGGTTTTAGAGTACACCACTCTGTACACAGTAGCTTGCACATCATAATCCAACTGTCTGGACACATGCATTCAAATCCATTGGGACTCTTACATTTCACATGTGAATTTGCTCCCTTGGTACCCAAACATCAGTCAGGCCGGTGACTATTGGGTTTGGCCATGTGTGGACTGAAGGCTTATATGATGCTACCTAGCACCTGCTGCCCAGGAAAAAATTGAAGGCAGAAGGAAGTGAAACCAAAGAGCAGATAAAAGTGCTGGTAGACAGTTGTTCCTAAGAGGAAGGAAGTGTGAAGGTTAGAGAAACTTGTCTCATTATCCAGGGAGGGTGCTGGAACATCCTGTAGCCCTACAACTGTTGGGGAGGACAAACTGATGCAGCCAAATGTTAGTACAGAGAAAAGTCTGAGTGGAGAATCCAGCAGCTAAGGCAGCATTGACTGAGAGCATGAAGTCCCCTGTGTAAAGCTTAGGGAAATGTCTAAGTCACAGCTTTGTGACTGTCCCCAGAAGATGCCCAGTTTGTTTCTATTCCTGTGGCTGCCTTCAGTCCTGCAAGGGGGAGCATGGGTCCATCTGGCAGAATAACCAAGGACTTCCAACATTAGAATATGGAGTTCCAACTTGCTCTTCAACTGCCCTCTCAGAATAAAGCTATTGAGATTTTTTTTTTTTCATGATGGAAGAAAAATGGCTTGTTTCTGGCTTTTCCTAATGCTACCATGACTGAAGAGACTTCACTTAACATTTCCTCAAATAATAAGCTGCAGGGGAGAGAACAACAGTGAAAATGTTCAGACTCAAAGCTTCAGCATGCTGGGAATATATGCAAACATAGGGATTGGAAGGAATTGTATCCTAAATGATTGCCTATGCCAGTTCCAGTCATGTTATAATTAATTCACTGCTAAACAAGTACTGCATAATTCTCAGGAGAAAGGTGAATGAAAGCTACTTCTTAAATATCCTCATCACAAAGCACTAATAAGAGCCTAGGGGAACATAACTCAGGTTACAGTGCTGCCAACCTTAAATGCTAAGAAATTGTAGGGAAGATGCCAAAAACTATGAGATTAGCTTAAAATCATGAGATTTCAATCAAGTATCTTTCATGTCATCAGAGACTTCTGGTTGCACATTTCTCTGAAGCCAGTGCCTCTTTTAGAAAGGACAGCTGAGAGTCTTATCCAATCACCTGACTCAAGCAGTTGGGGCTTTCCAGAAATTCACTCCAAATCACAAAACTCATGATAGGATCAAGAGAGTTGACAATACTGAGTTCAGGCTTTGCTTCTCTGGGGATACTGATGAGAGCCCATTCCAGGACGAGAGCCCATTCTAGGCATCCTTCTATTTTGGTTCCTCCCCTTTTCTTCAAGCTAGATAAATACACTGAGAAGCTCTTCAACATGCATGCCTGCAGTACAGACAGCCAGCCCCTAATGCCCCTTCTTCCCCAATGTGGTGCCCACTGAAGACAATCGGTTCAAAAGTCTGGAGCTTCTGCTTAATTCGTGTCCTAACAAGCAGCCTGCAGAGAGCAAATGAGTTGAGCTTTGGCCTTAGATGAGCTGCTTCTTCTGTTATGCAGGTTCCCTGGGGATCATGCTGAACATGCTGCTGCTGTGCTGGGGGTTGCTACAGGGAATCCAGGCCATCCTCACCTCTGACCTCAACAGCAACCACCTGCAGGAGATGAGCTCCAGTGTGAATGGGGGAGGCAGATCTGGTTACACAAGCCTTCTGCACAAAGTCAAGGAGGCACCTGTAGAGCGTTCAGGTGAGTAATATTTTTTTGGGTTCCCTCTCCCTCAGGCCTTATCAAGTAACCTGAGTCACTGTCATGCTTCTGTAGTCACAAGCAGCCCTACAACTCTTTACAGATTCACAGGTAGGGAATCCATAGTCAGTACTAGAAAGGGAAATCATGTGAAGCAGTGCAGTTCATCCTATCAACACTGTGCAGCCTCCCCTGAAGGGCAGTATTGTGTCATGAAGAGCCAGCCACACAAGGAGGGAAAGCCTCCCTGTTCCATTTCTGCCCAGCCAACCCACTCCACCTAAGCCAGGCTCAGGTTCAGGAGCACTTTGATCATGCTGGGAACACTTGGAAGGTCAACACTACTGCTGGCAGAGTTGGCCCCCTATAGTCTAGCATCCCTCACAAGCATAGCTTGCCCATGCTCACTACATCCACACATTAACCCAAGCACATAACCTGATACCTGTTTGTTTCTGATCATTCGCTGCACCTTATACTATGAAAATCAACAAGATCTTCCTGCACTGTGGGGCCCCTCTCTTGGCCACTCCAGTCTTCTGGTCTGAGGGATCTGGTGGCCATGGGATCCCCTCTTGCCCCTACTGTGGTCATGGTTGATATTAGGTAGGAATATAACAGTATGAGATTGTTCTCCCATGTTCTGACCTGTTGGTTGCATGCCTGGCTTCCAACATGTTGGTCAGGAGAAGCACCTCAGGTTCCCTGAAAATAGAGAAGGGTTCTGGAAAGGAGTTTTTTGTTCTTGTGCAGAACTCAAGCAGAGGCTGCAGGTGGTAGCCAGTAAGAGATAGTCACTCATCTTCCCTTTGAGGGACATCATTTTTAATTAACTTTTTAAGCACTTAGTCTCTCTCTCCCTCCCCCTACTCTCTGGATTGTGGAGAGGACATGGTCAGAATGGTAAAGCTAGAGTGGAGCAGTATTTCAGCTAGCAGATAATGGCTGTTATGCACCAACCCCCAGCCCTTTTGTAATTCACAGGAACTTTACCCAGGCTTGAGTTTGACAGGATGGATGTGGAGCTCCATGCTGCTGATGAGGATCTTGTACAGAAAGACACTGTACTGGAGCCACAGGTAATGTCCTTTGAGACTTGAATGGTTATTAAAGTCCTCTCCATGATCTCTGGGCCACATTTAGTTCCTCTGTGTGAGAGGACTAGGACATATGCTAGGGCCAGGAACAATTCCAAATGAACATTAAGTGGTTTAAAATTCTCCATGAAATTGAATTACCAATCTTTGCCTGGCTGGGAGCCCCAACTCTGAGGCAGTGCCCCTCCCAGCAGAAGACACAGAACCTGGGTAGCTTCAGCACCAAGGCAGACCAAGATAGGTTGATGAGGAGCTGGAAGATTGAAGCTTTGGGAGCTGGAGCTGCTGAGTATCCATGAGCCTTGGAATTTGGGAGACAGGTGTACCTGTGTGTCCAAAGCACCAGCTCCTCAGCCCCACCAGGCAGGCTGTCAGATGAGTGAGCTGGCAGGAGACCAGGAAGGTTCTGAAGCCTTGCCTGGCAGGTGACATTTCCTGCTTTGTTTCCAGGGGAAGACTGTCAATATTGAACTATCTCCACCAAATTGTGATGAATTGGCAATTCTAACAGCAACGTGTTTTGCTGAAACCTTTCTGATTAGCTCTCTTGTTCAGTCAAGACCAGAGAGGATAGTGAGGAATTTCAGAAGAATGTTGCCAAGTAAGGGGAAGGGGCAACATGATAAAAGATGAAATTCAGAGTTGTTAAAGGGAGTTGCATGCATTTGGGGAAAACATTTGGATTACTCATTTACTCGGCCGGGCCCTAAATTATTAAAATCAACCCTAGAAAAGGGTGTTGGTGTCACTGAAGACAAATCAGTAGAAAACCCTGCTTGATTTGGAGGTGCAGTTAGAAAGACTAATGAGACAATACAAACTATAAGGGGTGGGAATAAAGAAAGCAGCTAATGCCTTTATGTGGAACCAGTGGTGCAGGCTTATATAGATACTGTGTGCCGGGGAAAAGGAACCTGCTGAAACTCTTATGAGGAAAACTAGCCAATTGCCCATCAAGAAGCCCCCCCCCCCCCCGGCTTCTGTCAGGACCTGGCTGCGACGAGGTGGCAGCATGCTCCCTGCCCTCATGGCAGGCAGGGACAGAGTCCTGCATCTGGCCCTGCCCCCGCTTCTTGTCTGGTCACGGGAAGGGGAGAACAGGCTCGCTCTCCCCACACTCGCCCCTGCTTCTTTGGGGCTGGGCCTGTGTCCCCCCCACTTCAGGGCTGTTGTCGGGGTATGGCAGTGGGGTACCGCCACCATGCCCCCCCTCCTGCTCCCACTTCCCATCTCCTTCCCCCTCCCTGCTGGCTTTTGTTGGGGCCTGGCAGCTCTGCATCCCCCCTGCATTTCCCTCCCCCCCGGGTCCAGCCCAACCCCTGCTTCTCATCCAGTCAGGGGAGGGGGGGAACAGGCCCACTCCCCACCTTCCCCTGCTCCTTCCCCACCGCCTGCGGGGAGTGGGGGAGAGGGAGGGCAGGCCAGCTGTGCTAGCCTGGCCTCCTCCCACTGCCTTTGCTTCGCTGCACTGTCTCCTGTCTGAACACTCCTGGAGCACTCTCATTGGTTGTTTCAGTCAGTCAATCAGAGTGCAAATAAAGTGTTATGGACAGACAGACAGACTAAGGCTTTTATAATATTAGATGTCAGGATTGCTACCCCACAAATGAGACACATCCTGGTTGTGAGGAAGTTGGAATTAGGTTCTTGTAAATTATTGAATGATCTAGAGCAGAGGGTGGCAACCTTTTATTAACTCAGGCCAGAGTTTGTGACCTGGGCAGCGCCATGGGCGCTAGCTGCTCCAGCAACCCTGAGCAGAGGCTACAATGAAGAAGAGCAGCCCTTCATGCAGGCTGGAGCAGCTGGAGGCAATTGGCAGGCCATTACTAGAACGTTGATTAAATCAAGTGGCTATGGATGGACATGCTTTTAGTAAAATGTAGACCAGGTCATAACTTTGTGGGTCATATCCATTCATTTTCAGGGAATGTGCATGCTTATGTGTGCATGCTGGTCTGGCATGCAGCATGGGAGACTCAAGAGTGCATGTCATGAGGGTTAGTGCCTACTAGGGTCGCCATATTTTGTTGAAGCTATGCCTGAACACCCACGTTTAAAATGGTATTATCATATATGCACTACTCATTGTGAAAATGGGCATTCCTCTACAACAAAATTCCAAACTTGCCATGTCTGTGAGGGCATGATCTACTCCTAAGATTTGAACTGGCAGGGTACGGCTAAAGTGTCCTTATATAGACTCATCCCACAGAAAAATAACAACCCAATAGTCTAGTCAAGAGCAGTGTGAGCAACTACACTATTACTGACACCCATTCCAAGTGCTGACTATTAAAAGGTCCATGATTTTATTTTGAGAATTGGTCATTACTTCATAAAGGTCCAGTTCCCAGATGCTGGGCCTGGGTCAGTCATCCAAATAGGCACAGGCAAAGACCTGCAGTTCCTGAACTGTCCAGGGCACACATGCTAATTAGCACACACTGGAGCAGATTTGATTAGTCGAGTCTGTTGGAGCATGCTAATTAGCATGCTCCTGCAGCCTCCACATCACTTGTATTCAGCATCCCCGCACTTCAGAATGGTGCTAGAGGCACTTTAACTAAAGCTTGTCAAACGAACATTAGCAAAAGTGCCCTCGCTGCCACTTTGGAGCACAGGACAATGAATACACATTATGCTGCAGACGCTTTAAAATTAGAGTGGCTCTGAAAGCCACTCTAATTAAAGCACCCCCAACCCAGAGCACCTGTAAAGATGCATATTGTGCCTATTGTGTAAAGATGCCTATTAATGCCTATTGTAGCTGGGCCTACTTAGAGAGGAAAACACAGCAGTCAAAGTGCATCTATTTTCTCCCTTTGTAAATTATGTCTTTTCTCTCAGCAACTTCCTCTCTCATTTTTTTCTACTGGCCTTGGATTTTCAATGGCATGGAGTAATGCATCCAATTACCATGAGCTTGGGGCCTCAAACTCCCTCAGGCTTCTTATGAAATCTCAGCTGACATGTCTGGTTGTATCCCAAGAGCCCATCCTTATATGGACGCACGACTTTGAGCAGGGCTTCATGTATTCAGTACTTCTACGGCAGGCAAATTCACTACTCGTTACATACTTGTGCTCCAGAAGCTGAAACTTCATTTAAAAAAGAAGTTGCTGCTCTTCATGCTTATGAAGAAACTTAAAGTATAATGCAGCAGATCCAAAGCTATGTAGAAACCCTGAAACCAGTCCTCTAAAAAGGGTAAAGGATCCTCCTAAACCCAAAAGATGACAGGGTCAGTCTCAACACTGCCCACTGCTTTACTGCTGATCATTTTAACAGAGACATGCTGCTAATGTGCTTGTCCCTCAGTTCAATTGCCATCCCTAATGCCACAAGCACTAACTATCCCAAACCCTGACTCGTTTATCCCCAATGGCCTCTAAGATGCTGTCGTCTGATGCACTAACAAAACTTGCAGCATGCCGAGAACTATTATATGAGGACCATCTAAAATAAATCAAATTCAGTATCATGGGCACTTTTACACATGCTCCAGCACTTTAATTTGAACAGCTCTGAGAGCTGCTCTTATTAACGTGCTGCTGTGTCTTGTGTCTGTGTCCCTGCACATAAAAATGGCAATGGAGGCACTTGAACAAAAGCTTGTTCAACAAGCTTTAGTTCAAGTGCCCCTGCCACCATTTTTAAGAGTGGGGATGCTGATACATGAGACACAAGAGGCTGCCTGAGTGTGGTAACTGTCACACTCCAGCAGACTCAATTAATTAATTGAGTCTGCTCCAATAAGCTGGGATTCTTGCACATTGGAGAAGCCTCCCTGCTCCAGTATAGGCATGCAGGCTAGTCCAGAGAGGTAGATAGTATCTGATGAAGCAGGCTGTCACCTATGAGAGCATATGCCTCTCTGAACAAATTAGCTTTTAAGATGGCACCTTGCCCTGACTTCTGGATGATTAGTCCAGAGGCTGCTATATGGATTTGGTTGTTAGTCTCTTGTTAATTCATTACAAACTACATTTTGATATTCAACTGAAGGTGATATAAAATATCCATGGAAGTTTCAGGCTCCAGGAATCTTGTCACGGAATTTAGATCCATTTTGCAGCAGAGTACGCAGACCCCTGCCTCTCAGGAAAACTCATCAGTCCTGAAAGTCGAGTTTGGTGCAGCCAGAGTAGGGCCTGTCAGAGGGGCTGCTGCAGATGTATTACTTGCAAGTGGCTTTCATATTTTGAGTCCTCTCTTCTCCCACTGAGCTATCTTGGGCAATGTTGTCCTTTTCTCTTGAAGACCCATAAAATGCAGGACCACTGGAACAATCCAACCTTGGGGTATAGACAGATGTAATACTTTTTTTGCTGTCCAAGGATGCCAATATAAGCGGTTGGAATACAACTGTTTGGGTAGCAAAACTGCTTCAGTCAAGGTCAGCTGGCGACTGTGCTCCCTTCTATCCCTCTGGTATGATGTACCAGTTATGACTGATACATGCACTCTCTCCCCTATTAAAGCAGCTAATAGAGGGGCAGGCAACTATTTTGGGTGGAGGGCCACTTACTGAGTTTTGAAGCAAGCCATCGAGGGCTGCATGATTGGCAGCCAGAGGCAGATAAATATTAATTTTCTAAATTTGTTAGGGGCCCCACGGGCTGGATAGAATCGCCTGGCAGGCTGTATCTGGCCTGTGGGCTGCATTTTGCCCACCCCTGAGCTAATATGTACATTCCACAGGCAAGGTCAGCTCCCTAAGGAAGTATGGACTGGATGAATGGACTGTAAGGTGAACAGAAAACTGGCTGAAGCATTGGGCTCAGAGAGTAGTAATCAATGGCTTGATGTCCAGTTGACAGCCGGTATCATGAGGAGTGCCCCTGGGGTTGGTCCTGAGGCTGGTTTTGTGCAGTATTTTCATCAGTGACCTGGAAGATGGCATAGAGTGCACCCTCAGCAAGTTTGTAGATGACACCAAGCTGGGGGCAGTAGTGATACATTGGAGGGTAGGGCTAGGGTTCAGAGAGACCTAGGCAAATTGGAGGGTTGGACCAAAAGAAATCATGAGGTTCAACAAGGACAAGTATCAAGTCCTGCACTTAGGATGGAACAATCCCATACACTGGTACAGGCTGGGGGCTGACTGGCTAAGCAGCAGTTCTGCAGAAAAGGAGCTGGGGGTCACAGTGGACAATAAACTGAATATGAGCAAACAGTGTGCCCTTGTTGCCAAGAAGCCTAACAGCATAGTGGGCTGCATTGGCAGGAGTGTTGCCAGCAGGTCAAGGAAAGTGATTCTTCCCCTTTATTCAGCTCTGGTGAGACCATACCTGGAGTACTATGTTCAGTTTTGGGCCTCCACTACAGAAAGGATGTGGGCAAATTGGAAAGAGTCTAGTGGAGGGCAACAAAAATGGTGAGGGGGCTGGGGTACATGGCTTCTGATGAGAGGCAGAAGGAACTGGGCTTATTTAGTCTTCAGAAGAGAAGGCTAAAAGGAGATTTGATAGCAGCCTTCAACTACCTGAAGGGGGGTTTGAAAGAGGATGGAACGAGACTGTTCTCAGTAGTGACAGATGACAGAACAAGGAGCAATGGTCTCAAGTTGCAGCAAGGGAAGTTTAGTTAGATATTAGGAAGAATTTTCTTACTAGGAGGGTAGTAAAACACTGGAACAGGTTACGCAGAGAGTTTGTGGACTCTCCATGCTTGGAGGTTTCTAAGACCGGACTAGACAAAGCCTTGGCTGGGATGATGTAGTTGGGGATGGTTCTGCTTTGAGCAGGGGAATGGACTAGATGGCCTTCTGAGGTCCCTTCCAACCCTCATTTTCTATGATTCTGTGATTTTCCCATACCCTCAGTGCAAAACTTACAAGTGTTTTACTCCCTGTATTCATTGAGCATGCTAGTGGGGCGTCTGACAAGGACACAGCACAGCTCCTTCCCAAGGACTTTGCTATTTGTAGGCATTGTTTCCTCCATGAAGCCATTTTCTTTTGCTCTTTGTTCAGGTGTTGTCTGCAGTACTGGAAGCTCAGGACCGTGAGGAGCGCTCTCCCCGCAGATGTGTCCGCCTGCTGGAATCCTGCCTTGGGCATCAGCTGCCCTGCTGTGATCCATGTGCCACCTGCTACTGCCGCTTCTTCAATGCCTTCTGCTACTGCAGGAAAATCAGTGCCAATTTCCCCTGTGGCAAGAACTAGCTTTGGCTCTGGAGGGATTTCTTTCCCCTCCACCTTCTTTCTTTCACCCCTTGGGTTAATAACTGGTGTGTCCATGTGTGCCTCTATGTTTTTTAGTTCCAATAAAACAACTATTAGCAAATTTATCATTACATCCAGCTAGTTCTGCCTCTGGCTTTTGCTTTGATTCTAAAAGGGAATTCCCTGTTAATGAGGAACAGCAATCTAGGTCCATTAGAAAAGAGCCCTTTGGAGACATGCTTCTCTGATGTGTTAGGGTAGCAGTTCCCAAACTCCAACACAGGGACGGGTAATTATTTTGGGCAGAGGGCTGCTTACTGAGTTTTGGCAAGCTATTGAGGACTGCATGACAGGCAACCCATGGCAGGTAAATATTAATTTTCTAAATTTTTTAGGGGCCCTGCGGACCAGATAGAATGGCCTAGCAGGCCACATCCAGCCCCCAGGCTGCATTATGCCCACCCCTGCTCTAACAGATTGTGTACCACCAGTTTAAAATTATACAACCTTAAGTATCACCAGCAATTTTTTCAGGTCAGCCTTAAGTACCACCAGCAAATTTTTGTCATATAAAGTAATTATAGTAAATCTGTTAATGTGTACCACTGGTGGCACCCGTACCACAGATTGGGAACCGTTGGGTTAGGAGTAGTATCTCAGCAGGGTGGCTGCTGCGGGAGAGGTGATGTCAGTCTTTGACTACTATGTGGTTGGTTGCTACTTTGTCTGTGTTCTCTTGTCCCAGGAACCCTCTTGGTGCCTTGGGTTATTTTTAATTCTGCAAGCATGCTAGGAAGAGACTGGATTTGCTAGGAAGAGATGGGATGTACCAGAAGAAGAGAGGGAAGAACATCTTCACAGGGAGGCTCGCTACAGGCTTGCTAACCTAGTGAGAAGGGCTTTGAATTAGGCTTACCAGAGGATGGAGACCAATGCCCTGAGGTAAGTGGGGAGGTGTGTGACCTGGAAGAAGTGCAAGCAGGAGGGGGCAATAGGGGAGGTAGTCTCACTCTTCCTGAGGAAATAGGCATAGACAGAGGAAGAAAATAATTTGGAGGGGTGCTGAGCACGCGTGCAGGCCCCCCCCCCCCCCCCCCCCCGCGGGAGGGGGGGGGGGGGGGGGGGGGGGGGGGAAGGGGGATGCAAGGACTCTCCCCGCCCTCCTCCCAGGCAAACCTCAGCTGGGGTCTGGGGCCAGAGAGGGTGGCAGCTCCCACCACTGCACGCACCCCGGGAAGGCATGGGGGGCATGTGCTCCCGGATCTGTACAGAGCAGGGCAGGCTGCTGCTGAGGACTGGGGCCAGACCTGCACTGGGCTCTTCCTGGTGGGGCTGGGCTGTGCTGCACTTGGGGCAGGTGGCAGCAGCACTGGGAGAGGGGGCTGCGGGGTTACGGCGAATTTTGGGGTGGCTGCAGCCCCCTCCCAGCACCACTGCCACCCGCCCTGAGTGCAGTGCGGCCTAGCCACTGCTGGGAAGAGCCCGGCACAGCCCTTGCCCCAGCCCGCCCCAGCTCACAGTGGCAGCCTGCCCACGCAGATCTGGGGGCACATGTACCCTGTGCCTCCTGGGGTGTGTGTAGAAGCAGGAGCTCTGCCTCACAGATGAGCCATTCGCAGATCAGTCCTGTGCCCCATCCCACCCCAGCTGTGTAGTGCCTGCCCCAGCTCCATTCCCCACCCTTACCGCTGTGCCCGCTCTCCTCTCCACCCCTGCTGCAGCCACCAGAAGCCTGCAGCCAGGCTGCCTTGTGGCTGAACTGCTGCCCTGCATTTGGGGGGCTACGCCTATGAAAATAAGTCAATTGGCTAGCTACTTCAGGTGCCTATACACAAATGCACTGAGCCTGGGAAACCAGCAGGAAGAATTGGAGGTCCTCACACAGTCGCAGAACTATGACAAAATAACAGAGACTTGGTGGGAGCTTCCATGAGTGGAGCACTCTTATGGGAGGATATAAACTGTTCAGGAAAGACAGGCAGGGGAGAAGAGGAGGAGTTGTGCTTTATGTGAAAGAGCTGTGTATGATAGCTTAGAGCTCCAGTATGAAACTGGATATAAGCTTGTTGAAAGTCTCTGGGTTAGCATCAGAGGGGAGAGCAACAAAGGTGATGTTTTGGTGGGTGTCTGCTATAGACCAACAGACCAGGAGGATGTGGTGAATGAGGCTTTCTTCAAACAGCAAGTTTCCCAGTCACAGGCCCTGGTTCTCCTGGGGCACTTCAATCACCCTGACATCTGCTGGGAGGGCAATACAGCAGTGCACAGGCAGCCCAGGAAGTTTTTGGAGAACGTTGGGGACAACTTCCTGGTGCAAGTGTTGGAGAGGTCAACTAGGGACCATGTTGTTCTTGACCTGCTGTTCACAAACAGGGAAGAATTCAGAGATTTCACAGACATTAGGGCTGGAACGGACCTTGGAAGATCATCAAGTCCAGCCCCCCGTCCAAAGGGCAGGAAGTCAGCTGGGGTCATAGGATCCCAGCAAGATAAGCATCCAATTTACTCTTGAAGGTGTTCAATGTAGGCGCTTGAACCACCTCTGATGGCAGGCTATTCCAGACCTTGGGGGCTCGGACAGTAAAGAAATTCTTCCTTATGTCCAGCCTGAAATGGTCTTGCAGTAGTTTATAACTGTTTGACTTCGTCATCCCTTGGGGCGCTCTGGGGAACAAACGTTCCCTCAGATACTGGTGGTCACTCCTGATAAACTTATAGGTGGCCATCAGATCACCCCTGAGCCTGCAACTTTCCAGGCTAAAGAGCCCCATAGCTCTCAGCCTGTCATCGTAGGGTCTGCTTCCCTGACCTCTGATCATGCGCGTGGCTCTTCTCTGCACTCTCTCAAGCTTCTCCGCATCCTTTTTGAATTGCGGGGCCCAAAACTGGACACAGTACTCCAGCTGCGGCCTCACCAAGGCCAAGTACAAGGGGAGAACGACGTCCCGGGATTTGCTTGAGAAGCATATATGGATGCAAGCCAGCGTTTTGGTTGCTTTACTAGCTGCAGCATCGCATTGCAGGCTCATGTTCATCTTGTGGTCAATGGTGACCCCCAAGTCTCTTTCTTCCGTAGTACTAGCCAGTGTAGCACTGCCGAGCCTATAAGGCTGCTGCAGGTTTTTCCTCCCAAGGTGGAGAACCTTGCATTTTTCAGTGTTAAACATTATCAGGTTCTCGTCCGCCCATTTGCTGAGCCTGTCCAGGTCAGCCTGGATCGCCCTCCTGATCCAGGGAATTGATAGGGAATGTAATAGTGGTTGGCAACTTGGGCAGCAGTGACCATGAGATGAGTGAGTTCAGGATCCTGAGGAAAGGAAGGAAGGAGAACAGCAAAGTATGGACCTTGGACTTCCAAAAAGCAGACTTCAACTCACTCAGGGAACTCTTGAGTAAGATCCCCTAGCAAACTAGTCTGAGGGGCAAAGAAGTCCAGGAGAATTGGCTGTACTTTAAAGAAACCGTACTGAGGGCACCGGAACAAACCATCCTAATGTGAAGGAAGACTAGCAAGTATGGCAGAAGACCAGTGTGGCTTAGCAGGGAACTCCTTCAGTGAGCTAAAGGACAAACAGGAAGCTTACAAGAAGTGGAAACTTGGACAAAGAACTAGAGAGGAGTATGAGAGTATTGCTTGGGCATGCAGGGATGAAATCAGGAATGC